CTTTTGTCGCTCGTGGCGAGAATGATGTCGACGTAAATAGATATTCGGTCGATACTGAGTGTGACCTTGTACCAGAGTTTTCAGGACTTATGCGCAGCGCTTGGAGGTTTTTTCTTCAATTGAAGAGGGCAAAATGATTTATGACGGCTATCTTATTGACGTGGGCAAGTTTGACTGTTATCTTTAAGTATGCTGTTTTGAGTATGTTGTTCACAAATATTTACCTACATTTTAAAATCAAAGCGGTATCTAAAAGATGACAGGAGATTTCGATCTGTAACTATAACGTTATTAGGGTGCCTAAAATCGTCTCCACCAGTTCCTATATTTCTCTGGAATCAAGCTCCCATGCACTTGAGTCTCGTGTAATCGTCCCTTGTAAGCGATCACGTTTTTAAATTGCTATTGCACTACCGGCATCAATTTTAGCATTTATCTAATGGCTCCTACTATACATTCCTCTGCATGGGTTCAATCCGGGATGCTAAACCGGAGCATAGACGTAAATGGACTTGTAGGACTTACTTTTTTTACCTCCCAAAGCTTCTAAATCCAGCAACACCCTTTTGTTTTAAAATAGTTGCGAGTTCGATGATATTTGCTGCAGCCCCTCGTAACAATTCAGATCTTTTTTTAGTCTTCGGTAAATGTTGGCGAGGTTTGCTTGTTTTTTTAAAGGGCGTTAGACGAACACATGAGGCTCTATATGAGGTATGTTTAACCTATTTGATTTAAGGTGATGAAGGACCGGTAGTTGAATTTTCCCATAATGATATGAGTAGGCCTGACGTTCCTATTGAATTTCGCATAGCCCTGCTTTCCCAAAAGGTATTCTCACCCAAGGTGGACTGCTGTTTCGACCTCGCCTAGTTCTTATCAGCATCCCCAGCGGGACTCAAACCATAACAGTGCAGCGTATTATCTCGACAGGTTAGTCACGAGTGCCCTTGGGTCACAGGGCGGATGTGAATTTGAAGAAAGGTCAGACATTTTCCCATATCACATTATGTAGGGGGATTGTCGATGAAGCAAAGCTAGGATATGTGAAATTTAATGGAAACCCAAGGTCAACTCATATGCTTGTGGTAAAATTTAACTACTAGACCCCTTATCACCTTTACAGAAATTGGGTGAATACACCTCATATATATGATCTATTGCCAGTCTATAAAAACCCACTTATAAACGAACAATAAGGGGCCCTGTTTTATTATTATTTATTAAATTTGTCTCATATCAAATCTGCTAGTTCGAACCATAAGCGTGCATTTGATCTGCTGAATCCAGGTACCCTGGCTTTGCTACGTCACTTATAAGGACATGAATTTCCTTCATCAAAGTGGAGGGCTTAATTGTCGGGGCAGACATCATAACCGTTTTCTTTATCTGAATCCTTAGAATTTTGCCATATGCTGTGGTATTCCGTTCCCTAACTTGCACTGGAGACTATAACAAACAGAATATATTTTGATGCCCACACGATAGTTTAAACTTCGAGTGTATGAGAGGAGAGATACCTGTACTATAGTGGCGTGCTGCGTGAATGCTAGGCGTATTCGTAGGCATTGGTGATTGTCCTTATTACTACAAATATTCACTTAAAATACTTCACATTCGATCTGGAAGGACCAAACTGTCTGATCGGAACTGGAAGTGGGTGTATTTATTTGTTAGCCAAAGGCAGCCAGCATTTTAACCAGAATTGAAGAAGTGGCTAAGCAAACCATTGAAACGATTGCCAGGAACACTGCTGAACGTAAGGGCAGCGATGGCAATTTCAACGCTGTTCAGGTGTATTGAAATGTTTATAGCAGAGAGAAATTGTTCTGGTCTCGCTTGACGGGACATTAGTCTTTGGCCTTCTCACCACAACCTTGTTATATATCGTAGAGCCTTGTGTATATTCATTCACTTCTATAGACAGTCGCTTATATTGAGACGCCTTATCCATTAAACGTATTAAAACAGCAAATCAGGATTTATTTTTGTAAATCTACCTAAAATCCTCATCCAAGTATTTTAAGATGCAAATCGTGAGGAACTTCTTCGATGAAAATAGCTTCCAGGACTACTTTAGTGTTTTTCGTACGAAATCTCACAAATTAGTGAAATTTTTTCTCTTTCGTCGAATCTCAGGCATGATATGCAAATCTGGTTCGACATTTAGCATACCTTTCATATATTTTGGGCACTTGTAAGAATAACCTTAGTGCTTTTTTGGATAGTGATACACTTATGCATCCATTCATTGTGTTTATGTACACGCTCTAGTCTACTTTCTCTATACACTTATATGAATTTAATATCCCGTCATCCTTAGAATAACTATCCTTTGCTACACATCTGTTTTGTCTTTATTCCAACCTCGACTGAATCACTATGACAGCCAATTAGCAGACCTGTATTTCGACAAGCCGCACATAACTATGAAACAGGAATTAATTGGCCAATATTTGCCAAAATCGATAGCTCTTAAGGCTGGATTAAGGTCTAACATTTTAGTCACGCGGAATTCAATTTGATTTTGATGCACCTCTTCAGGCCAATCCCGCCATTCGCAGTTGGCCTACCTCTTAAGCATGTTATTTTTTATTCTTTCTCTTTTTCTTTTTAAATCGACCTATTTCCTCATTATACTAAATTAGCAACCTCAATTTAAAATTTCCGCATCCTTCCATCTAAGATAAAATACATGCAAATCTGCCAAACTTCATGCACTTCTTGGCTAGACATTTTAAGCCACAGGTTCATAGTTTTCGTTTTATATATTTAGCCCATAATCTTAAGAAGCAGCCTTCAAACCTTTTTTCTGTGATTTATTGACTGCTCTTTAATAACTTAAATCAACCCAACTTTCATAGATATTAGAAACAAGATGGTGCGGCTTTCTGTTTGGTCACAGTCTTCTTTAGTTTTATAGTGTTGTTTTGGCCTCGTCTTCGCAACCCAGTCGGAGCGTCAGGGAGAACTTGTGGAACGTACCTAGTCCTGCGTTCTCTGCCATAGTATTCGTGCTTTCCAGCATCGGACCATTGACTTAGTGCATTCCCAATAATTTCGCCGGCATCTTTAATGATAGATGCCATCGTTAGCACATTTGGAGCTTATCAAAGTTACAAGTTGGTCAAACAAAGAATTGGTCAAGGAGATTGCTTTTACTTGTCACTTTGATAGGTTTTAACTCTGCTAACGATGGTGCCTCTCACGGACGACATCGGCGAAACGTCTGGGACTGTACCAAGGCATGCTATCTTTCTATATTAATTTGGCCATTCCGTAATTCCTCTCTTATCGCCCAGTAATATGGTCTAAGGCTTCTAGTTTCTTTTTTTGTAATTAGTTGCTGACCTTTCAAAATTTTTTGTTTTACAACAGTGTTTGTCATTTAGGTTTAGCATAAGTTAGCCTTCGACAAACGTTAAATTTGAAGAATAAAAAATATG